AGTTTTCCCTGTGGTCGCATGTGACGCGTTGTTGTAAGCGAACTCTAGGGTCGGTAGCTGTGTGTCCCAGTGGCTGACGTCGTCTTTGCGAGCTGTGCGCAGTAACTGTTCAACCACTTGATTGAGTCGCTCTGTCTATCCGTCAGTCTGGGGTGGTATGCTGAAGACGTCGCAAGCGTAGTCCCCAACAATCCCATGAGCTCCTTCCATAACTTGCTAGTGAACTTGGGGTCTCTGTCTCAGATTAGTGTAGCGGGGATGCCGTGGATGGTGATGATGCGGTCGAAGAAGAGGCGAGCAGTTGCTTCAGCTGTAGCTGTCGATCACCACGAGTATAGCATCATGCCCTCGTGAGGTCGAAGGAAGTCCTGTGATGAAGTCGAGGCTAACGACCTACCATGGCTACTCCGGTACAGGTAGAGGCTGGAGTAATCCTGTTTTTTTCTGCTTGCTGCTCTTCATCCGCTGGCACCGGTCGCATGAGGTAACGAACTGCTGCACGTCTGCCGCCATCCCAAACCAGTAGTAATACTTCGCTATTCCCGCTAACGTCTTGTTGCTCCCAAAATGTCCCGCGTAAGGTACGTCCGTGAAACTCCTCCAACAGGATCTGCCATAGCGGGGCGTAATTTGGTACCCAAATCTTTCCTGAACCCTTCCTTACCGCTAAGTCTATCTCCCGCTGTAACAGCTTCTTAGTTTGTGCTGTAGTGATTTCTGCGTCCACGGAGTACCCATGTTGGAATAGACCCTTGAGCAGAGGGTTCATCCCGTCGAGCTGGATGCCTGCTACATGACCGGGGCGGCTCTACGCGTCTGCCTTGTTGTGTAGCCCAGGCTTGTAGACGATGTCGTAGTGGAAGTGAGTTTCCAGGAAGTCCACCCACTGCACCTGTCGTCGAGAGAGCGTCGGCTGCGACTTCAGGTATTGGAGACTGCAGTGGTCAGTATAGACTGTGGTCTTGGCTCCCTCTAGGTAACACCTCCACGCCTTGAAGGCTATGACTATTGCTAAGGCTTCCTTGTCATGGATGGGGTAGTTCAGTTCTGCTCCGTGTAGCTTCTTACTGAGGTAGGCGATGGGCTGCAAACCGCATCCGTGATCCTGCATTAGTACTGCTCCGACTGCCTGGTCACTAGCGTCTGCTTCCAACACGTAGTCCTTGTCTGGGTCCGGTAGGATGGTTACGAGCGCTGTAGTCAGTGCTGTCTGTAACTGCTCCATGGCTTGCTGATGAGGAGTATCCCACTTGTAGGGCGTATCCTTTTTCAGTAGGTCGGTCAGTGGCGCTGCTATCTTAGTGTACTGCGGCACAAATCTGTTGTAGTAGTTGGCGAAGCCTAGGAAATGCTGCAACTCCTTCACGTTCTCCGGTACTTTCCACTTCTTGGCAGCTTTGATCTTCCGCGGGTCCACGTGTACGCCCTCCGCACTCACCATGTGCCCGAGAAACCGCACCTTCTTCAGGGCGAAGTCGCTCTTCGACAGCTTCACGTAGAACTTGTTTTTCCGCAGGATCTCGAACACCTTCCGCGGATGCTCAACGTGCTCCTTCATGTTCATGGAGAAGATAAGAATGTCGTCCAGGTACACTACTACGCACTCGTCCAGCAAGGGCCGTAGGATGTGATTCATCTCCGCCTGAAACGTCGCTGGTGCGTTGCGGAGTCCGAACGGCATCACTAAGTATTCGTAGGAGCCGTATCTGGTACGGAACGCCGTCTTGTGGACCGATTTGTCTGCCATCTTGATCTGCCAGTAACCCGACTGTAGGTCCAGCTTCGAAAAGACTGTTGCACCACGCTGTTGATCCAGTAGGTCGTCGATGCGCGGTATGGGATATTTGTTTTTAACCGTCTGTTTGTTCAGTGCCCGGTAGTCGATGCACATCCGTAAACTGCCATCTGGTTATGGAGTGAAGAGAACTGGTGCACCGTAGGGAGAGGTGGATGGGCGGATCAGTTGTCTGTCCAGTAGTTACTCTATCTGTTTCTTCATGTCTGTCAGTTCGGTCGGACTCAGTCGGTATGGTGCACGTGAGACGGGTTTTGCACCTGGTTCCTCCACGATCTCGTGCTCGTGGGTTCGTGCTGGAGGTACGCCTGCGGGTAGGTCGTCGGGCATTATATCCTTGTACTGCTCCAAGACCTCCTTAACTGCTGCAGGTAGCTCTGCGTTCGGCTTCTCCTCCTCTGTTGCTGCCATAATCAGTAACCCGCGTTACTCTCGTTCACTGTCCGTTCAAACCATGCCAGTGTCGTTTCAGGAACGTTTCCTGTATCCGTCCAGCTTCGCAGCTCCACTCGTTTCCCGTTGTTGTAGATGCACGCCTTCCTGTTGACCCAGTCGATCTTGGGGTTGAACCGCTTCAAGAAATCTCGCCCCAAGAAGAAATCTAAACCCTTGATGTTCGTGATCGACAATGTCGGCTTCCACCTCAGCGCCCCTATGTGCAACTGCAGTGATGCTTTGCCGTGGATGGGAAGTTTCGTACCGTCCACCATCGTTGCCGTGAACTTGGTCTCCTCCGAAGGTTCTCCAATTTTCTCCAACGTCCCGCGGTCGCACACCGAATGAGACGCACCGCTGTCCACCAGTGCCTGGAGGCGTCGCCCGTTCCAGATCACCTCGAGTAGTAGTGGTTGTTGCTGCTCCAAGTAACCGTAGATGGTCTCGTTTATAGGATCGTAGGGTACGTCGATTAGATGATCCCTAGGTCCTACGCTCGAAGCTGCTGACTCAATATCAGTTTTCAACTGAGTAGGGTTAGAAGGATTGATCCGAGGCTGATTCAGCTTCGTCTGGGCCTGGAACCTTCCCCTAAGCCTTTGCAGATGTGTAGGCTTCACCTGTGGGCAATGGGGAGCCTTAACACCGTGCTGCGGGGAGAGAATATTAACTCCTTGGAACGCACGACCCTTTTTAACGCTCCGGAGTGGTTTGCCCAACTTCTTAGGTACCTGAATAATCTCTAGAGGCTTTTTTTTTGCCTCCAAATCTCCCCTGAATTTTTTAAAGGCTTGAAAACCTCGAGAGGAAATATTCTTACTCTCAGGGGTGTTCGGCTGGAGTTTTCCAGTCGGTGCAGAGTCTGGTTTCGCGGAGCCTCCATTTGTCTCGGCGATTTCCACTGTTGCCGGCCGGTCGTGGCGTTTTATATGTGCGACATCATGTCCTCCTTTTTTCGCCCGCTTCGAAGTCGCCTCGTCATCGCCTTTTCTCCTTTTCTGGATATTTTCGTGATCTCCAAGTTGTTCCGCGGCTACTGGCGATTCCCTTTTTGACTTCGGGGGTGCCGCGCTGTTGTTGCCCTGCAACTCCGCTCGTGCCTTCTTCATTTTCCAACACGCCAAGAATCGATGTCCTGCTGCTCCACAAAATTCGCACTTATCATATTTTGTCGGCTGCTGCTTCGCGTCGATCTTGTCGATATCCATCGGGTCGGTGGTCGTGGGTGGTGCCGATCGCTCCGTGCCGAATGATCTGTTCGGTATGCGTCATCGTGTTTCGGGTTGATCTCGAGTCAACGCATCGAATCTCTCTGCTCCACACACCAAGTCGCGGTAGTTGCTGTAGTTCGCGGCAATCACCTGTCGGCGGACTTCCATTTTTAGCCCCTCAGAATACGCTTGGATTTTTTCCCCTTCGGTCAGGTCGGTAATTCGGTTGAAGAGGCTCCCCATCTGCTGCGTGTACTGTGTTACACTGCCGAACTGTTTATGCCGATGAATCTGCTGCCGCGCCATGTAGCTGGAGTTGATGGGTTCGAAACGTTGAATTAAAGCTTTCCGAAACTGCGTCCATGACCCCTCGCCGCGGATCTCATCACTGTTGTAAATCCACTCAAGCGCCGGGCCTCGCAACAGTGTCGCTTTGAGCCGAATCCGCATTGTATCGTGTGTCGGGGTCGTACAGCCAACGGCCTAGAAGTAAATTTCGAGGGTCGCAATGAATCGACGAACGTCGGTGTCTCTCGCATTCGGATTGAACGTCTCCGGTAGCCTCGGACGTGCCGCCTCAAGATTCACTGTAGCCGCTGCCGTTGCTGCGAGGTGAAGTGTCGGCATCGCCGCTGCTGCTGCTGCTGTCGCTGCTGCATTCGCTGTTGCGTTTGCTGTCAAACTTATATGCAGCTGATTGTGTAGGCTGTAGTGGGGTAGCCCATATGGGGTACAACCCAGTTAGGGTTAGCTATTTGTACCCATCCTGCTGCTAGTTGATCCATCCCTCTTCACTATTCTGACATGGTATCAGTGCAGGTCCTAGCCTAGGACCGATCGCTTAGGGCCCACCGAGAAGCGCTACCCCACCCGTCGCGCTAGTGTGATCACGCCGTACTGCCCTGCCCTGCACTGCCCTGCCCTGCCCTGCACTGCCCTGCGCTGCCTGCTGCAGCGCGCACTGCTTTGCCTGCGCGCCGATTGCTGCAGCGCGCCCTACTGAGTCGCGCGCCGCCTGCAGCAGCGCGCCCTGCCCTGCCAGCGAGTCGCGCCACCGCGTCGCCCTGCCCGCGCGTCGCCCTGCCCGCGCGTTCGCGCCGCGCGCCCTGCCCGTGCCCGCGCGCCGCGCTACCGCGCGTCCTGCCCTGCCCGCGCGCCGCGCTGCTGCGCGCTCTGCCCTGCCTACGCGCCGCGCTGCCACGCGCCTCTCCGCTGCGAGCACGCCGCGCGCCTCTGCCCTGCCGCGTGCTCGCCTCTGCTCTGCCCGCGCGCGCGCCTCTGCCCTGCCCACGCCGCGCGCTTCTGCCCTGCCCGTGCGCGCGCTTCTGCCCTGCCTGCGCCGCGCGCTGCTGCCCTGCCCGCGCGCGCGACTCTGCCCTGCCCGGTGCGCGCGCCTCTGCCCTGCCCGCGCGCGCGCCTCTGCCCTGCTCGCGCGCCGAGCCGCCACGCGCCCTGCCTTGCCAGTGCGCCCTACCTGAGCGCCGCGCCCTGCCCTGCCGTGCGCACCCTGCCCTAATGCTGCAGTACGGCAAGCGCACTTCCTGCTGCACTGCTGCTAGCGTGCTGCTCTGCTACTAGCGCGCTCGACTGCTCTGCCTGCTATGGCGACACTCAACGTTCTCACATTCGATTCGGAGGGCCGCCCCATAGAGTTCGCTGCATGGCTAGACGATTTACAGCTCTTCCTGCTGACAGACTCTAAGGACGGTACCTCGCTGTTCGACCTCACTTATGGCGCCTCGCCCGCCCCTGACGCCACAGCTGACAGTGCGACCCGCTCAGAGTGGCTTACCCGTGACGCTGCTGCTCGCCTAGCCGTTCGCAACCACCTGCCGTTAGCCGAACGCGCCCACTTTGGCCAGCATAAGACAGCGAAAGCACTGTACGACGCTGTAGTCGCTCGTTACTCCTCCCCGGCCACTACTGCTCTAGGCCGCCTTCTCCTGCCCTACCTGTTCCCAGACCTGTCCGCCTTTGCCACAGTAGCCGACCTAGTCACTCACCTCCGCACTAGTGACACTCGCTACCGTGCTGCGCTCCCTGCCTAGTTTCTCACCAAGAACCCCCCCCCCATGTACATCACGCTCTACTTCATAGTCACCCGCCTCCCTGACTCTCTTACTGCAGTCAGGGACCTACTCCTAGCACTTGACCCCACCGACCTCACTGTCGACCTCCTCGAGAAGCACCTCCTAGCAGCTGAGACTAGCATAGTCGCTGTACGCGCTTCTCGTGGCACTCCTTGCACCCCCTTCTTTGAGGGGTGTTCGCCCTCCCCCCTTCTCCCCTCAGTCACCTCTGCTGCAGCTGTTGACTACCTTCGAGCTGAGGAGGTAGGAGCTGCATCTGCCCCTAGTGGGAGGCGCCGCAGCGGCAGGGGCAGGGAAGGCAAGGGAGGTGGGGTTGGCAGAGGTGGAGGCGGTGGTGGGGGCGGTGGAGGCGGTGGTGGGGATGGCGGTGGAGGAGGTAGTGGTGGTGGGGGCGGCGGAGCAGGTGAGGCGGTGGTGGCGGCAGTGGGAGTGGTGGCGGCAGCGGTGGTGGGGGCGGTAGTGGCGGCAGTGGGGGTGGAGGCGGCGGCAGAGGGGGCGGCAAGGGTGGCACCAGCCAGAGGGGAGGCCTTGGAGGTGGCCAGCGGCAGCAGCAGCGTCAGCCCCTTTCGTCTCAGGAGCTCCGTGAGTGGTTTGCTCAGCGTGGGGCAGCTGGGGTAGTGGTCCCTGCCCGTATGTCATTCGCACAGGTGACCGCACTGGTCAGACATGCGGGAGGTCTCACACTCAGCACCGCTGCTTCTACCGCCTTACCGATGTCTTCCGCACAGAGTTCCCCGACGCGGCTGAGCTCCCCGACAAGGCGGCGCTACTTAGGCAGAATGTTAATATCTTTGCTCTAGACTTTGATGCTATCCTATCTGCCATGTATGTATTGTCTGTTAGTGCTGAGGGTGACTGTTACCTGTGTATGCCGCCAGACCCAGGTATAGAGGCTGCAGCTCTAGGTGCTAGTGAGTCTGCTGCCCTAGGTGCTGGTGAGTCTGCTCTCTCTGGTACTGCGTCTGCTGCGGCCCTGCACACCTTCACGCTTGACTCAGGTGCTTCCCGCTGTTTCTTTCGCGACAGTACCACAGTCACACCACTTACTGCACCTGCTGCTGTGTCTTTGGCTGACCCCTCTGGGGGCCCAGTCCTTGCACGTTCCTCCACTGTTCTGCCCTGTCCGGCGGTTCCGTCTGGGTCACTGTCAGGTCTCCACCTCCCCTCGTTCTCTACGAACTTGGTGAGCACAGCTGTCCTCTAGGATGCGGGGTTTGACACCTTCACCCCTGGACGGCAGCGTGTGGCGATCTGTACATGCTCCCGGACCGGTCGCCACCTGGCCACGTTCACCCGTCGGCCTGGGTCGAGTTTGTACACACTGACTACTGCGCCTCCTCAGGTAGCTGCGTCTGCGTCTGCGTCAGGTCAGCTTGCTGCCCCCTACTCGTGTCGCGCCCTGTCGCACCAGACGCTCCTTTGGCACCACCGTCTTGGTCACCCCTCTGTGGCACGCCTTCGTGGCATGCACTCCCGTCTCCTTGTCTCTGGTCTTCCCAGGTCTCTGCCTCCCCTCCCACCCTCGCCTGCCCCTCCCTGCCTTCCGTGTGTCGAGGGGCGGCAGCGCGCCGCTCCTCACTCCTCCTCGTTCCCCCCGACAGAGGCTCCCTTGCAGACTCTCCACCTGGACGTGTGGGGCCCAGCCCGCGTCCGTGGACAGGGCCACGAGGGGTACTTTCTGCTGGTTGTCGACGACTACTCGCGTTACACCATGGTCTTCCCCTTGCGCCGCAAGGGGGAGGTCCCTGATGTTCTGATCCCTTGGATCCGCGCTGTTCGTCTCCAACTCCGCGAGCGGTTCGAGACGGACCTTCCAGTCCTGCGTATGCACTCTGACAGAGGTGGTGAGTTTTCCTCCGACTTCTTGCGTGCCTTTTGTCGTGCGGAGGGCATTCGCCAGACGTTCACGCTTCTGGCCTCTCCGCAGCAGAATGGGGTTGCTGAGCGCCGCATTGGCTTAGTCATGGAGGTCGCTCGTACCTCCATGATCCATGCGGCTGCCCCCCATTTTCTGTGGCCGTTTGCAGTCCAGTACGCTGCGCATCAACTCAACCTCTGGCCCCGTGTCTCCTTGCCGGAGACCTCGCCCACACTGCGTTGGACGGGGGAGGTTGGCGATGCGTCGGTGTTCCGGGTCTGGGGATGTCGAGCCTTTGTCCGCGATACGTCTGCAGACAAGCTTTCCTCCCGCGCCGTTCCCTGTGTCTTCCTTGGCTTTGTCCCTGACGCGCCTGGTTGGCAGTTTTACCACCCCACCTCGCGCCGTGTCCTGCCCTCTCAGGACGTCACGTTTGACGAGTCGGTTCCCTTTTACCGTCTCTTCCCCTACCGCACTGCCCCTCTCCCTCCTCCGCCGCTCTTCCTCGCACCAGGTCCTCCTCCGGTAGACCCCCTCCCCCCTCAGGGTCCTGCTCCCTCAGGTGTCTCCCAGGTAGACCCTGTCGAGCCTGTCGAGGTAGCTGTCGACTCTGGTGCTGCTAGAGGTGGTGCGTCTGGAGGTGCTGAGCCTGCGCGTGCGGGGCCTGGGGATGCTGAGCTTGAGCGTGCGGAGCCTGGGGGTGCTGAGCCTGGGGGTGCTGAGTTTGAGGGTGCGGAGCCTGGGGGTGCTGAGCCTGCGGGTGCGGAGCCTGGGGGTGCTGAGTCTGAGAGTGCGGAGCCTGGGGGTGCTGAGCCTGGGAGTGCTGAGCCGGGGGGTGCTGAGCCCGCGGGTGCGGAGCCTGGAGGCCCTTCGCGTGTCTTGTCGCGGCCGGAGTCTCTCTTTCCACTGCAGCTGCGCGAGTGGTTTGCTCGGCGCTGGAGCCTCCGGCGTGGTGCTGCTGGAGCTGGAGGCGCTGGAACTGGTCCTGCTGGTGGTACTGCTGGTGCTGGAGCTAGTGGTGCTGCAGGAGTTGGAGCTGGAGGCGCTGGAGCTGGTCCTGCTGGTGGTGCTGCAGGAGCTGGAGCTGGAGGCGCTGGAGCTGTTCCTGCTGGTGGTGCTGCTGGTGCTGGAGCTAGTGGTACTGCAGGAGTTGGAGCTGGGGACCCTGGAGCTGGGGGTGCTGGAGCTGTCTCTACTGGTTCTGGTGGTGCTTCACGGCCGCGGCCGTACTTTGTTCCACTCCTTCAGCAGGTTCTTGGTCTCCCTCCTTCCACCGCCTGACCAGTCGCAGTCGCAGTTACAGCCTGCCTCCCCTCTGCCTGGTCCTTCTCCTTACACTGAGCCGACCGGAGGCCTTTCTGAGCGTCGTGAGCCTGCGTCTCGTCCTGCGTCGCCTGTTCGCACTGCTCGCACTAGTCGTCGTGTTCCGCGTCCGCGTCCTCCTCCTGTACCCGGCACGCACCAGATGGCACTTCGTCCGTCCACAGCTCCACAGCGTGTCCCTCTACCGTCTCCTCCTGCGTCCTCTCTTCCTGACCTTGCTGACCCGGAGTCTGACTCCCTTCGTGCTGCTAGTCCTACTGTCACACGTCTCCTGGCCACTGTTGTCACTGACCCTTCCTTTAAGTCCACTGCTGCGTCTGCCTTAGTTGCTGAGCTGGTCGACTTTGCTGCTCGCTGTCGTCTAGACTACGCCGCTAGCCTTGTTGCTGAGTCTGAGTCTGTCTGTCCTCCGTCCGTCGGGGGTGAGTGTGCTCTTGGCACAGACGTCCTTGAGGACAGGCAGGAGGAGATTGAGTTCTTTGCAGCAGCTGTACCTCATCTCGCGTCCATGCTAATTGCACCTAAGGGAGACCCGAATGCACCAGACATCCCGACCCCGCGCTCTTACGCAGAGGCGATAGAGGGTCCCTACTCCTCTCAGTGGCAGACAGCCATGGACGCAGAGATGGCATCCTGGAAGTCCACAGGCACTTACGTCGACGAGGTTCCCCCTCCTGGGGCGAACATCGTCAGTGGCATGTGGATTTTCAGGGTGAAGCGGCCGCCGGGTTCTCCGCCTGTCTTCAAGGCACGTTACGTTGCTCGAGGCTTCAGTCAGCGACAGGGAGTTGACTTCTTCCAGACCTTTTCCCCGACCCCGAAGATGACCACTCTTCGGGTTCTGCTGCACGTCGCTGCTCAGCGTGACTACGAGCTTCACTCTCTTGACTTCAGCACTGCTTTCCTACAGGGCAGCCTGCACGAGGAGATCTGGCTGCGCCGCCCACCTGCCTTCACTGGGTCGTTTCCTCCTGGTACCCAGTGGAGCCTCCGGCGGCCAGTCTACGGTCTCCGCCAGGCGCCTCGTGAGTGGCACGACACACTGAGGACGACTCTTGCGGCTCTTGGGTTTGCTCCTTCTACTGCTGACCCGTCGCTGTTTCTACGCACCGACACTTCGCTGCCGCCGTTCTACATCCTCGTGTACGTCGACGACTTGGTCTTTGCCACTGCTGACACTGCTGGACTGGCCCACGTGAAGTCGGAGCTGCAGAAGAGACACACGTGCACAGACCTAGGTGAGCTGCGCAGCTATCTTGGCTTGCAGATCACTCGGGACAGAGCACGCCGCACCATCACACTGACTCAGTCACACATGGTGCAGCAGGTCCTTCACCGCTTCGACTTCCAGTACTCCTCGCCACAGGCCACTCCTCTGCCTACCAGTCACTCGCTCTCAGCTCTGCCTTCGGATGAGTCCGTAGAGCCTAGTGGCCCGTATCCAGAGCTTGTGGGCTGCCTCATGTACCTGATGCCGTGCACTCGGCCTGACCTTGCTTACCCTCTTAGCATCCTGGCACGCTACGTTGCGCCCGGGAGACACCGACCAGAGCACTGGAAGGCCGCTAAGAGGGTGATGCGCTACTTGTGCAGTACGTCGGGCATGGGGCTCGTGCTTGGAGGACGGGCTCGAGTTGTCCTCACTGGTCACGCGGACGCTTCTTGGGTTGACGACTTGGCTATGCAGCGGTCGTCACAGGGTTAGACCTTCAGTCTTGGCTCCAGTTCTGTTTCATGGCGGTCTACCCGCTCGTCTTCTGTTCTCAGCTCCAGTTGTGAGGCTGAGATCTACGCAGGGGCCATGGCTGCACAGGAGTTACGCTGGCTCACTTACCTGCTGACCGACTTCGGAGAGCCGCCTCGTTCTCCTCCTGTTCTGTACGTCGACAACAAAGCCATGATTGCCTTGTGTCAGGAGCACAGACTGGAGCACAGAACGAAGCACATAGCTCTGCGCTACTTCCTTGCTCGAGAGTTGCAGCAGCGTGGTCAGCTTCGTCTTGCTTACGTGGCCTCTCGGGCCAACACTGCTGATATCTTCACCAAGGCACTTCCGCCTTGTGATCATCAGCATTTCTGTACTGTTCTAGGCCTTGTGCCTACTTTGCCTCACTTGCTCACTTCTTGACTTTGCTTGTACTGTGATCTATATACTTGCACCTGCATGCTTACACTTGCTAGGTTGTGATCACTGTACTGCTTATTCTCCTTATATATAACTCTGCTTGTGTACTGGCCTTGTGGCCATTTGCTTGTGCTCAGATTGTGTGGTGACTTCGTGATCCACCCTGAGCTTGTTTTGCCTCTCTTGACTGGTCTTGTGACCTCTTGTTCTCCCCCACTTTGCCTATGGGGGTGTGTCAAACTTATATGCAGCTGATTGTGTAGGCTGTAGTGGGGTAGCCCATATGGGGTACAACCCAGTTAGGGTTAGCTA